GGGAGGGGGGGTGGGTGGGTGGGGGGAGGCCAAAGAACCAGTAGAGCAGTCAATAGTGAGTATATGGGAAATGTTAAAAGAGATTGATATTTATTTAAATATTCTAATGCAACGAAATTGCATTGCCAAATAATTGAATGGTTCCAACGAATTGATGAAATTGACACTTTCCGGGGCCTGATATTGGTGCCTAACATATTATTATTAGGGGAACAAGTTCATTAAATCAAAGACTTGCTTTAGACTCAATTTGTGGCTCAAAAATATTTATACATCCACACCACCTTTAACGTCACAACACCATTAAATTTAGAGTTGATTTCACTTTGTGAGAGTTTCTAACTTTCAACCTTTCTTTTATATAATGTCTTGATATATCAAAAAATGTACCGACATCTTATCATTTACTAAGAAAAATGTCAAGATGTCAATAGTATTGAATAAGTATTAGGCCTTGTCCTTCGAGGCTGACCTCGTGGCAACTAGTTAATAAATAAAAAGAAGTTACATAAAGCCAGCATTTCACATCACTCGCTTATCTGGCCTAATCGAGGCCATCAAACAGGGAAGTCAAAGTGATCTAAGCGCCTCGGTCAAAGCAATATAGATGCTGAACCTCCATGTCTGAGGCGAAGTGTCGTGATATGCTGCAACATTTTTTCGAAGTGATGAGCTTTTGTCCCATTATGTATGTTCCATAGCATCACTTCGTTGTAACCAGTGGTTTAATCAGTATCCATAATAAAGCACATAAATTAATTGAAACGATTAACGTTAGGGAAACAACCCATTAAACCAATCACTCGTCTTAAATTGAGCTTGTGTCTTTCAAATTGATCGAGGCCTTCCCTGCCATTCTTGTGCTTGAAGAGGTTCTGATCTCGTGTGTCTAATGCGTACATTTCAAGTCTATAGATAACACACGCTTGGACAAGAGATGGGGCGAATATGTTGACATGTTGGATCTCAACCGAATTCGAATGCGAACACATGCCATTACGGTCGACTTCATAAAAATATTCACCATATGGTTTGACTCATCACTACAATAATCAAATATCATCAAATCATTAGCAACGTGGGACCATGCACATATAAAATATAGTTTTTTTCCAGAATTATTCTTTTGTGCAATGTAATGCAGATTGCCCTTATTTATCTTATTTTTGTACCTTACTCCTTTAGAAAGACAAAGACTATGGCAAACTCATGAACTCAAGACAGGGAAACACATGGCTGATGCGAAATGACATAAATTCATTGTGTTACAAACCTTATCCATCCCTAAACTATAGACTTGCTCGCAAATGATTCCTAAACTTTAAATATTTACATTGCAAGTTACGGAAATCGATTTTGTGAATTCAAACTTATGTCAAGGATGATTTGAATCACGCTATGCTTAGCATAATCGTGGACATTAGTTGTCCAACTTGCTGATTGACTATTTTGCTTATCAAAGCCATATGTATATAGTTTAAGCGATTATGGTCGATTTCAGTAGCTTATGTGGCGAGCTGAGTACAAGGCAGCTCTCCCAAAAAAAAATGAGGCTTGGCTCACCCCAGAAGCTAGCCCCTAAGTGGAGCTAGTCAAGCTGGGCTCGCCATTTTTTTTTATTGAAATTTCATTTTTCTCTCTATTTGACGAGCTTGCAAGTCAGTTCGCACGACCAAATCATTGCTCGTCTTGCGCCACAGCTCTCCGAGCCTGCAAGCCTACAAGTGGCTCGTCCCACTTAACATCCTTAAATTTCAATGAGTAAAAAGATAGTTATTATAAAGTCGAGTGATTAAATACTGATATTCTAAAGTTCGAGTACTACTTACACTCAACTATAAATTTCTAGTACAAACCAAGTTTTTATCCCAGGTTGTGGCATAAACAGTTCATAGAATGAGTTCTATAGCCTATTTGGTGAAACCAAATGTTTGTTGCAAAGTTGGAGTAGACAGGGACTGTTTTTTACTTGTGGACAAACGACGTTCGCCTGCATATAACATACAATTTATACGACTTCTTGAATCATTATTTCCTACCAATTGCATTTTTTGTCAATTTCTTCAACTTAATTTTTTGACCTATAATTCCATCACAAGAGATGTAGGAAAACAATTTGAGTATATATGCCGTAAAATGTAGAAATTAAAGTTGCCGATAAATTAATTGAAGACATGAAATAATTATTACAAGAGATTATATACTATGATTGTGTCATTTTTCTCTAACGTGTCAACTTATGTCCAAACCGACCTACCCGACCTATTTTTTACTTGGACTAGCAATGCTAATCTGACGAGGATATATCACGAGGATATATCACAGGTTTTTTTTACACCATGTCATGGTTAAAAGGGCTTTATTAGTATTTGGTTGTGGCCAAATAAAGTGGGAAGAATAGGGTGCATACCTGTAACTGATAAGTGTAGTTTTTATACCTTTTCAAAATCTTAAATCATGATATTTTATTGTCTTTTGGATAAAATTCTACCTAAGTTATGTTATATTGTATTTTGTAGGTAAAACTTTATGTTTAATGAATAATTGGAGAAAAGAATGCAAAAAGTGATCAAAAATGGCAAAATTCAAAGATAAAAAATTTGAGAGAAATAATACATTAAGAGTCTATTTGGTGCACATTAAAATGAGAGAATGCATTTTTTTGAAGTGATGTAATGTGGAATATGTGGTTGAAAATAAAGGAAAAGTTATTGATGTGATGAAAAAAATTATTTTATTAAAGAATGTGTGGTTGAAAATGAGAATGAAAAATATAATGTGAGTCAAACATGGGCTAAATGAGTTGG